CTGCTCCTCGAAAGCCTGTCTCACTCGCCTCCATCTAACAACAGTTGTTGCCGATAACTGGTGGAACCACGTTAGTGCCGGGCCCCCTAACTGTAGGTGAAAGCCAGCTACAATCTGGGCATCCCTCCTTTCTAGTCCATGTGACACAACATATGATGTAAAAATTTGGACGATCCTCATGAGCATAACCATGAACAGTTTGTAAAGGTCTGGCAAAAAATGGCATGTTCCCGCCGTTTGCAGCCGCCATATTTGTGGGATGACGCGCCTGATGAGGAGTCGAAGAAGATTCAATATCCCAATCTTTCATAAAACTATAGTCAGCTGACGGGGAATTCATCCTTCGCGAAAAGCATAAAACAGTTCAAAATGTCCGTTTACCTTTAAAGCTGGGCTAATGATTTGGATTCTCCACCATGTTCCGGTTTTATTTAGAAAATAACCAACTGGAAACGTGTCTAACATGTACTCCTTCTTTAATCATTTCTTACTCTTCCACATTTGCCTCCTCACAAGAAAAGTTACAATAAACACAAAACACATCCTTTGGAGTTATTTTCCCTTACACAGTAGCTATTGTGCACATTATGTATAGCATATACATAACAACAGGACAACCATATTCGGCTTGTCCATTTGAGAAATCGCTTCCAAACGGCAAGTTAGACTGCACGGGCAATCCCTGGGTTGCTACCAATAAGCCCGAGAACCGTACGGAACCGATTGCGTGAACGAGCTATCCGTCCTCGACGTCCTGTAATCCGTCCAGTTCTTCTGCCACGTCATCGTGTAGCACGTCTGGACTGGTGCAGAAGGTATCTGCGATTTGCTCGACGGGATTGGGCAGGCATTTTGTTTACGGACGAATCGCGAGTCCACCTGGATAGTAGTGACAGCCGTTCCAGAGTGTATCGTCGCGTTGGAGAACGTTTCCGTGACGCGTGTGTGGTACAACGACGTTCTTTCGGCGGAGACAGCGTTTTGATTTGGGGCGGCATCACAGCCAACGGGAGAACGCCTCTGGTGGTTGTTAACGGAAATTTGAACGCTCCGGACACACGTGGTTCTATTCGTACAAGGGCAGCAACGTCACATTACGCTAGAGCAGGACATCTGGCCTGCTGTACCCCCCGATCTGTCGCCCATTGAACACGTCTCGGATGAAATGAAGCGCAGCTTACGGGCATTACCTTATCAACCGGTGACGTTGGCTGATTTGCCTGCAGCGTTGGTACAGATCTGGAATGCCATCCCACAAGCATTCTTGAACCGTCTGAAAGGCTCCATGCGTCGACGTTGCCAGGCTTGCATTCAGGCAAACGGTGGACATACGAGGTATTAACTTTGTGAACTCAGTATTGACCTCTGCGTCGTTTACGTCACTCCTGAGCGGAAATTATTGATTCCATAGCGTGGAAAATGGAATGTAACTGTTAATAAATAACAAATAAATTGTCCCTGAAAACCTTGTTGTTCTACGTCATACACATTTATTTTTTATAATACATTTTAGGCACGCACAGTTTCTTTTTCCGCTAGTATATTTATGTACCTATTGTATGGTTATGAATGTATTAGGTTATGTATGTGCGGGTATTGGTATGTTGATAGGTTCAAGTTTATTACGTTAAGCTATACAGCTCTTCAGTTGTATATGTTTACATGCACGGACTTATATATCTAATCTAATTCCGTGATACATGTATATATATAAAGTACAACATAACAGTAAACATATCACTTTCGGATTTGCGTTTGTGCCCTCTATTTGGGGACACAGTAGCAACCAAAATAAATCAATAGTGCAATATTTGTGATCTTAACATATCTCCCTACCTCTTACCATCTTTGATTTCTAGCACCTTGCTTGGCAATTTCTCAGTTTTGGCTATACTGATGAAGGTTGCGTCCAGGTAAGGAAGGCAATGGGTTGTCCTCAGACCAGGATATACCAAAATATTTAAAAATTGTACATGTTATTCCCTGCTTATCGTTCAGCATTAAGGGTAATGATAACAACTGGTTCACCCGTTGTCTATGCAGTATAATAGGACAGGGCGGAATGCTGTGCTTGGTGCCGTCGGCATGGTATTCAGTGAGATAGCACTTTCAAGTCGGCATCAGATTCGCGCCATCACAAAGAGGCCAATACACCAATATTCCCTGCTTCCGGCACACATACACAATATACATGGAGGTGCGTCCTTAAATGACCTTAGCTGTTAATGAGACGGTAAGCCCTATACACAAAACCAATTACCCCCTGTTTCAGCTGGGATTTGGAGTTCTATTTCAAGATGTTGCTCGACTGTCGTTTTATTGGATTCGTTAACATATTCCTCCTCTCAGCTATGGTAGCAGTGTACAGTAGCGTACGGTTGCCATGGGTGATATTTTTGTACAATGAATAACCCCTGTAATATTACATGTATCGAAAGTTAAGAAAATAATCAGCTCTAAAATTGGCCTATACATGATAAATTGGACTATGTGGGGTGCACATTTAAAAAAAACATCGAATTTGGCTTGAGACTACATTTTTGGGCATTTACGAATCTGTGTCTTCACAACAAAAGCTAGCTTTTCATGTAGTCTATTTTTGTATTCAGCACATGTGTAAATATTGTGAAAAATCAAGTTTGACGACCTATGCTAAAACGTGAGTATCTGTGACCGAGTAGGTGATATTTAATTTAAGACAGGTTTTAAGAAAAAAAATACTACTTGCGTGGGTCAAATTTTGGGTTAAAAATCATGTTTTTTTGCATTTTTTAACCATGGTTTTCACAAGTCCCAAATCTGGGGAAATCACTTTTTGAAAAAATATTCATTCTTCTAAAAAACCGTATTCAAAATGTAGTTTATAAATATATATATGTAGGTGTGTTGTGCAGGATGAATCCGCTATCCGTGTTTATCCGAGACATGGCCTTTATTTTTAGGGTCAAGCCATTTCATACTATACTCTGCTACCTTTGTGGATAACAGTTTTTCACCATATCCGACATTTTTAATGATGCCTTTTTTTGAGTGGATGATATAAAATACCAAAGAAAATTAATTATAAGTATTTTAAACTTTATTCAGTCTTGCATGTAATAACAACAATATCCGATTAACTTTGTCCGTTAATTGTTTATCTCAACATATGACCAGTTTACAAAACGTTAGTCAGTAACAAAATATATTCAAACCAGTTTGTAGTTTCTTTTTCATAAAGAGCGTCTGTGTACATAGATATTTCACAGAAATTAAGGAACAAATATAGCGCATTAAACTTATTAAAAATCAGGGTATGTGTTAGCATTCACATTTGCATCATACAATTTATAGGCCGAGAGTGCACCCCCTCTCTCTCGCTCTCTCCAATTATATGTATTTCAGATCTTTCATTACACGAGTTTAGTACTAATATCAACCTTACAGCCGTAATAAATTATTCAAAGAAACAAAAAGGAGTAGTTAATTACATGTCTTATTTCAGGAGTTATCGTCAGTGAGTAAACCGTAAATTCAAAATGGACTATGGTACTGTACATGCAGTCTTGAACCTAAAGATGAGCTGATATAACGTAATTAATTGGTAGTCTACGCCTCCGCAACAGCTATGGTACCTGTATTTTGTAAAAGGTACGATGTTGTCTAAATGCTGTTACTAAAATCAAAGGAGAGCAAGGTGGTCTCTTGATGCAACTCGAAGATTCACTGACATTAACAGATTTACTCGGGGCTATGAGGTCATCCCAGGCAAGGTTCGATAACGGAGTGTCAACGCCTGGTGAGGCCTCTTACGGACCAATTACAGTATCATCTCGCCGACATGTTATCACATAGACAGGGACGTATGACACCCCGCCCGACCACATCATTATAACAACGCATTAACTATCAAATCCTCGAGCTTGTTTCACCCAGGAACAAACAGTTGATCCTGTCTCAGCAAATCAACCCTAAAATTCGACCTCATACAAGAAATCCAATAGCCAACATCGTGACTTTTATTAGTTCTATGTAAGTTGGATATTTCCTCATATATGCTGGTTGGTAAATGCATCTAGTATACATTTAGTGTAAAACCTTGTTTCGTTTCTTTCATTTCACACACAATTTGAACAAATTCACAAATCTACAAACAGAAATCGGATAAAGAAACAAGCTTAATATGCATTTGATTAAAACTCCATACAGGTTTACAGTTATGTTTATTTTTTTCTTTTAAAGTTAGTTTTGTATGAAAGTTGCCCACATTAGTTGGTTACATTTTTGTAATGAGTTTCAGTATTTGTTATTTTGTGAATTCAAGATTTGTAATGAGCGGAAGAGAAACTCGTGTTTAGTCCGCCATTACTAGACAGTGGACTGTTAAAATAGCACACATATGCGTGTATAACAATATTACTAATACCCTAACGGTGTATGGCAATAATATGTACTTCCGTAAGTTACTACAACAATAAACAATGAATTCATAACAGTTTTTGTATAAATAGACTCGTAAATTTTGAAACATTCTAAAGAACCTTTTGTCTTGTTTAAAGTACATAAAACACGCGGATGGATTGTTGACGTGACGTCATTGTATTGTTGAAGTGGCGTCATACCATTGTTATGAATAGGGGAATCCCCCCGTCTCAACCCTAGGGTGAGACAAGGAATTCTCTTAACCTGGACAGGGATATCCACCATTTTACCGGTGTGAGATTTATTTATCTCACCCTAGGGTTGAGACAAGTTACACGTGCTCCTTGCACGTTCTCAACAATTGTATGACGTCATAGCAACAATACCATGACGTCACGTCGACATTTCAGCCGCATCACATCAACATTGTCTTGCATTGATGTAAAGTCTATGTAAAATACAAGATAAACAGGGTAAGAGAAAAATAATCATTCACCCCCTTGGGAGTGAGACAGGGTGATCTCAACCCTCGGGGTAAGATTCTTAAGCTGTCAAACACTCAGCAAGCCTCGTGTTTGACACCTTAAGAATCTTACCCCTCGGGTTGAGATAACCCTGTCTCACCCCCAAGGGGATGAAAGATTCTATTAATCTCACACCGGTAAAAGTGCAGTTACACCTGTTCAGGGTAAGAGAATCCTTTAGTCTATGTTGACGTCAGGGACGGGAGGTGTAGACTATGTTGACCTCAGGGACGGCAACCATAATATGTGACGTCAGACATGGATATGTAGTTAATGGTGACATCAAAAAACAGGAGACGTAATTTACGATGACGCCAATATGAGAACTGTTGTCAATGGTGACGTCAACAATATTTAATGTAGTCTATAGAAATATGTCAAGTCTATAGTGTCATGTATAGAGTCTATAATAACGAACATGTAAGGCGTATTTAATTAGTCTATAGCGTCGTGATAGGTCTGGTGGAATTACGATTATATTGTGTCGTTTGGGTCTAGTGTAGTTAAACGATATGGTGGGTTAAGTAGATATGGTGACGTTAAGTGTCTATGGTTTAGGGTATGGAACAACTTTTTAAGGGATTTCTAGAAAAAAAAGGGACATTTTCAGAAGTATCAATGATCGATGGGTTTTTCCAGGTGAACAATTTTCCTAATAACCTATGAATCGGTCAAATACTTGTTGATGAAAAGTTCTACTTCCTCCACGGCGTCCGGACGATGAATGTCCGATAATACTTTTTTGAGTTCGTGTAGACTTTTTTTGTCATCTTTCCATTGTTTCAACAATTGCTCTGTTGGATTAGGTTGATTCTCTAGGTAAGTCACGTGCGCACCATCTAAATCCATATGGGAAGCTAAATCACGGAAGTCACCAGCGTCAGAATTTGTCTTTGGATCAAGTAGGATTATTAACTTCCGGTGTAATTCTTGGCGTGGGTCCCCGTTATGGGTTAACTTATTTACCTGAAAAAAATAACAAACCGGTTTCAATAAAAGTTACCACAAACAGAATGATATGCACGTAATTAACAAGTGAAAATCGAAAGTGTTTAGAAAACGGTTTCCCCAATAGACAATTTTTACACACAGTTTACAAGGTAAAGTCGACATTTTAAAATAAACCATTTTCCCGGCTTGCATTCATAATAATGAATGCACGCATGCATTATTCTCCTTGTGACAATACAGAGGAAAACATTAATAGAATCTATCGCTACTGGTTGTGTAAGATAGAGAAATCTCAACCCGAGGACTAAGATTTTTTGTCCAGAACGAGGCTTGCCGAGTTCTGGACAAAAAATCTTAGACCGAGGGTTGAGATTTCTCTATCTTACACAACCAGTAGCGATTGATTATTTTTCTCCCATATCTAACAGTATTTTAATGTGAAATAAAGGTAAACATGGACCTAAAACACATACAGGCAATTTGTTGATGGATTGTTGACGTGACGTCATGCCATTGTTATGAATAGGGGAATCCCCCCGTTTCAACCCTAGGGCGGAGACAGATAAATCTAGCACCGGCAAAACGGGAGATAAATCTGTCAGGTGTGGGAGAATAATAGAATCATTCACCCCCTTTGGGGTGAGATAGGGGAATCTCAACCCGAGGGGGAAGATTCTTATGTTGCCAAACACGAGGCTTTGCCGAGTGTTTGGCAACTTAAGAATCTTTCCCCGAGGGTTGA